CTATTCTATTCTATTCTATTCTATTCTATTCTATTCTATTCTATTCTATTCTATTCTATTCCATTCTATTCTATTCTATTCTGTTCTATTCTATTCAGATATAAATTACTCTTCACAAATACCAGGAAGTTTTTCGCCTTTAAGGTTAATTAAAAGCTAAATATACTTTTTTTTTTTTTTTTCCCAGGTTTTGGATTCTGCTGGTTGAGACTTAAAAATGTGTGTAGTATACAAACTTAAATAAGAACAACCTGCAACATCCTTCAAAATCTCTGTGCAGTTGAAAAACGAACAATTATGTCTTTTTAATATGAAGAATAAAAGCAAAACCAGGAGGAGGAAAGACGTTTCCGGTGGACTTTCTAATTTACATTTTTAGCTGTGAAAGATGTTTCATTAATTATGGCTACACAACATGTGAATAGTTAAATTGGTATTCCCTTTTAGCCCTGTCATTCTGGCATATTTTTGTCATCCTCTCTCTCTTTCTCTTACTCTCTCTTTCAGTCTGGTGTAGGCGTCTCATCTGCATCCCACTCTCTGCTTTGAATGATTCTCCTCCACTCTGTATTCAGCTCACACTGTGGTGCTCTGTTTACTTTGTGTGCATGCGTTTATGCGCAAGTGTGTGTGGGCTCAAAGTGTGGACACACTTATTACATCCTCCTTATCTTCAGAGGCAGGGGCAGGTGCTATCGCTGTCATATGTTCATTTGACTGCTGTTTCACAAGAGACCCTGGAATTGGAATCATATGTTCTGTTATCATAGATATATATGCACGTGCACTATTCATCCTTCTATCTATGTTTACCAGACCAAGGGGCCTGATGAGACAGATTACAGTCAGAAGATGTATGATTTTTATTTTTTATCTACCGCGCGTGTGTGTGTGTGCGAGTGTGTGTGTGTTTGTGTTCGCAACTGCGCTTCCACAGCACAAGAGAAATGAACACTTGCAATAAATGACTTGTAAAAGAAATAAATGACAATAAAAACAAGATGGAAAAAAAAGAAGAGAATGTTCTGTTCCGCTGAAGTTAATTCTGTGTAAGTTGATCATTTTTGAACTGCACATGTACAATAGGTCCCCTCTGTTTGTCTTTGAGCTTGTGCATGTGTGTATGTGTGTGTTGTGGCACAAGAGATGGAGGATTGCCATGGAGGGGGTGTCTGCCTCGAGGTGTTTGTCACAATGGCTGGTTCCCTGGCACTGCTGCTCATGGTTAAGGGTACGTGTAGGTGTGTGTGTGTGTGTGTGTGTGTGTGTGTGTGTGTGGAAAGGGACGATAAAAATAGACAGAGAAGGAAAGGAAGAGAGGGAGAGAGATGATTGCGTTTTACAGCCATAGAGGTGTAAGAGGAGGAAGCTTTGCCTGACGAAAGACGTGTAACATACATTGTCAGATGGATATAAATGCATAAATATACTCGCACACCTACGCAGTAAAATAAACACAGGCAGGCGCACACAAACTATTCAGCAAATGTCGCTGGAGAGGTTTATGCAGAGTACGAAAAAGTCCAGAAGTGAGTATTTTTTGTTTTTTTAGGCAGCATAAAGCCAACCAGCACTCAGAAAGAACTTGGGAGATGCCTCGTAAAACCATATAATTATCACTGTGCTATGTTTGTTTGTTTTTTTTCCTAAATAAGGACTAAATGTACCATATTTCATTGAGGAAGTCCATATTCTATGGTTTAACACAGATCAACCACATGCATGCAACTTGTTCCATTAGTTGTTTGTCTTGCAAAGCTGACCCAATTTTTACCTCATGCTGCACACAGCACAGTGTTGACATTGTCTGGTGGCTCAGAATGTTAATATCCTTACCACAGTGAAACACAAATTATTTTAGTAATGTAGAAACACCTGCGATAATAGTTAAATGTCTCCTGCTAAAGTGTCTAAAGTTTGACATTTTCAGGATCAGGCCTTGAAAGCCCTGCAATTTTGCAATAGTGTTTTTTTTTCCTTTTTTTTTTTTTTTTTTACTTTTAACTTTCAATAAATGTTAAGGACGGCATATTTTACCTAGGTGTACCACTACTGTCACAGCAATATATGTAATCATGCAGCTTTGACTCCTGGACAGAGGAATAGAAAATGGGAAGAGATTCATAAGGTCCTCAGATTAATAATTTGTATGAAATTATGTGGCCATTCAGTCTCTTTTATATTAATAAAAACAGAGTATCATCGTACCTCGCCCTTGTGTGTTACCCCTACAACCAAATTTCTGCACACTGAGACTTTTATTTAAAAAAAATAAATAAATAAAAAATGTCTGAAAAAATTTTCACGTGAGGTGGCTGTTAGCTGACTAAATAATGCACAAAATAAAACTATTCCCTTGTCGTTAACAAAGAGAGAGAATGGACACATGTAAAATGTAAGGCTTTGTGTGCCGCTGCAATAACTTACATTTGCCGCTGTATAGGACAGTATCTCCGTAATGGTCCACAAAATAAAACTCCAAAAGCCCAACATGCCAGCACAAGAAGTTAAATGAAATTGAAGTGAAATATCCCATAGTGCTACAGGCAGTACTCAACACAAAGTCTCTTTAAATGTTCTTTGTACATCTATTTGCTGCAAATTAGTGATTGGCCACGACAGGTGTGGATTCAAAATCTGACTAGTTCAATTTTACACCTGAAATTTGATACAAATGTCGAATTAATTTTGAATTAGATGTATAATTTCAAGGACTATAAATACATACGGTATTTTGGCGAAACCATTATTTTGTTGATTAACTAGGAGCTTCAGAAGAAATGAGAAATGAGAAATGAAATGAGGCAACTGTTTTAGGCAGACAACAAACAGGACAGGTCTTTGTGCCAACATTATATAAATGTATCGAATTGTCTTCAATAGCAGCTTTCAAACCATGTCCAAGATTTACCTATATTACAGTTTTATATTCAAGCCATTAATTACTGTAAAGGTATGAAGAAGGTCACCGGCCTAAATAAAAACGGGGTCATACATCGTTTAGCAGAACTCAGATGTACTTACTGAAAAAAACTTGACAACAAAAACTGACCAATGTCAAATTCTAATCTTTAACTGGAAGTGAATTCACTTCTAATATTATTATATTACATGAACCAACTCTTAACCCATGCACAAGGCTGCTTCTTTGCATTTCAACCCTGACTTTTGTTGCACTCCTCCT